TGTTATTCTAATGAGTTTCACAGGCATCTTCCCTTCGATAGACTATGTTAGAATATATGAGTTACTCTAATTCATATAACTATATTTGTTTAATATCCCGACCTGCAATGAATGATGGGTATTAGGATCATTGCTCATAGGCGTTCGGGTTAATGCTTTCCGGGGGGGGGAAGGCAGTTGCCCAAATTTTTATCCGTCCCAATTTTTTTTATTTTTCTTAGGGCATAAGGGCATTTGCCCGAATTTCTATGGTTTGCTAAAGTTGGAGGGGGGAGGGGGCAGTTGACCCCCCTGCCCCCAAGTCGATCCAATCCGCTGATCCAATCTCAGTCGAAATCAAGCATCAACTTTAGTCCTTGCAGGGCAGGTTTTTTTATTGGCTTTATTTAAAATACACAGCTTGGTAACCGCCCATATTTTTAACGATATTCCCTAATCTCAACCATGAAAAAACGTATTGTCACAGAATATTAGGGGGAGAAGGAAGTCGGGCAACATTATGAAATTATTGCTCAATTATGTTTGTTTCTGTGATATTTTTGGTACAGAACGGGGGTAACAAAATTGGTAGAGTTGCCACTGAAGTAACCTGAGTATCAGGCTTTCTATGTCCAAACTCGAGGAGGGCCTGATACTCAGGTTACCACTGAAGACAACTTGCAACAATAATTGATTTTAAACGTTTGTACGTAACTTATGGGTAATAACATTTTCACTTTTTTTTCCGACGTTTTTCCTATATAATAGTAATATAAAAAGATTCATAATTTTTTACTTATTTAAGCTAGACAACTGAACAAAATAAAAATAAATATTTTCCGCCTCTGCCTACCCACACCAGTGCATAAACAAGCCTTGAAAGAAGTCTTTGACTGTCGGTTATCTCAAGATCTTGTAAAGAAATTGAAACATAAATCAGCGGAAATTGGTGGTTTCGAATTCGCCCCCACACATTCTGGAAACTTTAAAATCTTTTTTGTCTTGCATCACTGTAAAATCTCAAAAATGTAACATCTCAAAAATGTTTATGACTCTTAAAACGGGTGAGTAATTTTACAATATCTCAAAGAATCTTTATTTAGGTTGCTAGCATGTTATAATAAACTTCCGTGAATTGGCTTCGATTTTAAATTAACATCACATGCTATTACCTGTACGGGCAGGTCCAGCATTATATATAGTTTATATCTCAGCCAGTATGCTCATCCTTTCTAAATCTACATTTAATTTAGCTAAGCGGATAGCTTTGTCTTGCCCTTGGTCTTGGACTTGCATAGTTATTAAGCCATTTCTGATTGTTTATATATATATAGATTATAGTAATAATTATCCTACTTTAGTATTAAGATCAGAATTTATTTAAGAATATAACAATAACAAACACAACCATCTTAATTTTATAAATAACATACCATGTTATTCAATCCTTCAGCAAGGTATCAATCCTTAATTTATTCCCATAATATTTGATAACTTCTTTATAGCCAGATAAATCAGTGCACGGTATGACCAGCTTGAGCTGCCTGACAGGAACTGAAAGCGACCTCAGGAAATCACTGGCTATTTTTCACATCCTGATCAAGTGAGCGTAGGTGTTTATACCAGGGAGCTGTTAAAATTTAACAGATCAGCACACTATTTCTGGCTACCCATTGAGAGCATTCGTGTTATCGTGTTTAATTGTCAAATAGTGATCTTCACTATAACAAACCAACTCAGCCATGCAAAACCGGTTTCGTGATTCTAGAATGAAGGTTTGAATATGAGATATGATCTATGACGAATCAGTTTAACAACCAATTATTTCAATTATAAGGATTAAGGTAGTCTTGTTGGTACAGAGTCTGAAACTTCATGGCAAAAAAGAAAAGTAAAAAACAGATTGCAACACTAAAGTAATAGTTTATTTTTCGCGGGAGCTCATTGTGTACAATAAGTAATTTCAATGGAAAACAAAGGTCAAAGCAATCATAGCTAAAACCCATTCAATAATATTAATCAAAGCATGATTTTCAACCCAGCCGCACATTTGTCATCATTTCTTGGGATATAAATTAAATTAATTTGACATAACATATTGAGAGATTCAAGGCTCATATTGGATAGTGGAAATCAGAACGCAGTCATGGTATATTTTGAAGGAAAAAGGATACTTATGCAACACATGTTGCCGTGAACAACATTTGTCATTGCGCGTTGGCGTTTCACTACAAAATCGGTCATGTCAAACTGAAAAATTAGCCGAATTCACATTAGAAACGGGAAAACTCGTCTTAGTCTTAGACTGGAAACTCATCCAATATAAACCCGGCAACAGAGTTTTCCATCCAAACACTCAACGCCGGGAACGTTAGACAGAAGTCTCATCTAGACGTCTTAAATATAAATGGGATAAATTGTTGCCAAGCAAGGGGAAACTGGAACCAGAATTATGGAGATAAACACAAACTCAATATCGTTACGAGATTGAACCCCACATAAAATTTCCAGCGCATTTGCGCCCCCAAATTCACTGCTTATATTTTTTTAATAAAGACTTATCAATCAATCAAATAATCAATCATACAGCATGAGCTCCACCTTTGAATTTACTATATAAGTAAATTGTTAAACACGTCCGAATTTATCAATATGATAAATTCGCGGCACCTAACCCCTAACCCTGTACCCTAACCCTAACCCTAACCCCAGCCCTAACTCGTAACGCTAATCTAACTTTTTTAAACTTTTTTTTGAAAATTTGGTGTATGTTGAGTTCAAAGGTTTACAATAAAAGTCGCCCTCAAATAAACTCCGCCTTCGAATAAACGCCGCAGCCGCAACGCAAAAAAAATTATAAACGCCGCGGCGTTTAATCGAGAAATACGGTATTCAGACGGTTTTCATAGGACATAGACGAGTTTTCCGTCCAAGGCGAGATTCCCGAGAAATGGTCGACATTGAAGTGTATACCGAAACGTAGTCAACATTGGAATTTGTACCGAAAAACAGACAAAAAATTAAACAAGAAGAAATATTTCTCATCCAGAGGTAGACGGAGAGACCAACAATAGGCCAACAATAGTAGAATTCGAAAATCATTACGTCATGTCTAATCACTTCAGTGAACTGATACAGATCAGTGACTGAATGTTCACTGAATCGTCTGATTGGTCTGAATTACTTTCATTTTCGGAGAAACGGGAAATCCGTGTAGTTTAGTTCCTTTTCATTTGCTTTCCAGAGGCGACCAGAGCTAGCTTTATATCTCCTTGGTGCTAGAGTGAACACAGATTGACAGAAGAAATTTATACAGACAAGCTACTGACTACTGTAGTTGAAGGACTCGTCAACTCTGAACTTTGTCTTTGGTGAGTGTCTCGTGGAAAACATTTACCAGTACCACCACTTTGAAACTCACGAGAAATTGTTGCTGATGTCCCCAACTCAATTGCCATCTTGATTCTTGATAGCAGCCTCCCAAGAGGCAAATAACTTTGAGAGCCACCAGAAACTGCAAAATTGTAGCCTGCACGTTGATGTCTGATTGTCTGGTATATCACTGCCACTGATGTGCGCTACAATTTTACAGTTTCTGTGGGAGGCGGGGCTCTCAAAGTCATTTGTTTGACTTAATAGAGCATCTTGTAAATTCTCAGGCAGACAGTAAAGCAGGCAAACATAGGATTCTATCAGGAGGTTATGTAGGTTCACTACTGTAGGTTGGTGCAACATGTTGTATGTTAGAATAGAGGGGGTATGTGTGTCACTTGTCAAATTTTCAAAAATAGTCAAAAATGTTTCCATGGTTCCCGAAATGGTATAGACAAATTTGTCTGCTGGCTGCTTTGCAATTTGAAATACATGAATGCATAATCTATTGCATGATGCACAATGCACCCAGATATATTCCTTGTATTATTTTCCTCTGTATAAATGCCAAATTATTTTACTCTGAATCAGAGACCAATAAAATATATTGTTATATAGTTAGTGTCAAAGTTCGGCATTTCATTTATCTAGTTTTGGTTTCAAACTTTGACATTATATACTATATAACAAAACACTAGCTTATTTACTGAGATCTCAGGAAAGCAGTGTGTTTTGTGGCCCCTCGGCCGCCATTGTCTCAGTAAATATTTTAAAAGTGATAATTATTATTCATTGTAATCAATCACCGGTCAGCGTTATATACCAAACTTGTTCTCGGCAATTAGGCAAACACTGACTTGGGGCTATTCACAAAAGGTGAGGTCTTTAGTTAACTAAAAGTCACATATTGTCACATGAAGGGATATCTACAGTGAAGTCAAACAGTCACACATTTCATGTGATGGAGAGTTTTGAAGTAAGAAAGACAATCTTTGAGAATAATTCTATACCGTGAAAACCACATATATCACAAACCTTGATATTCATCCATAGTCTGTACACTGACTTAGAATACAGAGCTAGAAAGCTGTTCAGAATGTGTATGGAGGCTGGACAGGACTATCCATTGGATATTAGTGATTTGTCAAGCTTTCTAAAATTGGTCTTTAATAATAGTTGATATGACCCAGATTATAATCAATGTTATTTTTTATATAATAGTCTCTACTCTTAGTCTTAGGGCCTGTTCATATGGGCAAAAGTTATCCCGGTTAACGAGAAAACTTTTCGACTAGCCAAATACTTTTGTTCTGTTCATATGGAGAAACTTTATCCATTCCCGCTTACCGGGTAAAGTTTTCGGCTGTGACGTGGCACTGAACATCAATTGAATTGAAAAGTTGCTGACATGACAGAAAGTTATCCCGCTAAGCGGGAAAGTTGTGTTCATATGGGAAAAACATTATCCCGGTCACCGAGATCTCGCCTGTCAACAAGCGAGATCTCGG